TATTTTTTCTAAATTTTATTTTTTTAAAGAGTTGAAAGATTTTTAAGTGTTACATTTATATTGTTAAGTATAGACTTCCTGCATTATACTAAAATAATATCTGTAATTATTTCAAAATGAATAATTTAAATTTTCAAATATATTAAAATATATTAATATTAAAATTAAATATTGTTTAGTATTAAATATTATTTTTTATAATAAATATATTGTAAAAATGTTATAAATACATATTAATAAAAATTGTATATTATTATTATCTTAATAAATAAATTGTAATAATTGAATTTGATAAGAATTTATTGATTAATTTCAAATAAAAGAATGATAAAAAATTTTTTACCACAACATATCATTTGCTTTATTGTATTTTTTTATTATAAATTCTATATATTATATTCTCTTTAGTATTGCTAATTAGATTGTAATAAGATTTTAAATTGTTAATATCAAAAATTTAATATTTATATAAAATACTTTATAAGAATTTATATACTTCTGCTATTTAAAACCTTATAAAGAATTTGATAAAGAATTCGATCATTTTTATAATATTTATTATGCAAAATAGTAACTATAAATATAATTCCTAACAGATACCAACAATGTTAAATCAATCCTAGCGTCATAATGGACGAAATAAATATAAGGTAAGGTGTCTTTTTTGAAATATAGTTTATTACATCAAGACCTAATTTTAATTTAATCTTTCAACAGTAAGTGCTTTTGTATTACAGTGAATTTGATTTAACAGAGATTATTACACGATATATTTGAATTGGAATATTTATTATTTTCCGAGAAATTTCCTTCCGCTTCTTTTAACCTTTTTTTTTATTTTTAATATTATACCAATAAAAAATATAGCTAAAAAAAGAAACTTATTGAAAAGGAAAGTTTTAACTCTATTCAATTAAAACACACTTTTAATAATATTTATAATATTTTATTTTGACATTGGCTTTCTATTGATATTACAAGAACGTAAAATCATGTGAATCTCGATATTATTCCTTTTATTAATAATTTAAATTTATAATTTTATGTTTAAAGGTTAGTAATTTCCTTTCAAATATTGTAAAGTTACAAGGTTACCTAATTTATATGAAAGTTAAAGCCAACCTTTTGTAAATATCAAGAAAAAATTCATATGAACAAAAAAAATTTTTTTTATTAGATTGTTCACATATTTAGTAATAATTAATTATTACTGTTCTGTACAATGCGCCATCAAATCAAATCGTGTAACATACATCATCAAAACTCTGATTCTTCTCAAATATTACATCATAAATCAAAAAAAAAAAAATCGTCCCGGATGAGTAAAGGAAAGGCCTTTAGGCCATTTACATATAGGAAACCATATTTCTTCATCTGAGCATAAAATCGTTTAATCCACAAATTGGTTGAATTTTTAGTATTGTTCAAGTTAGGATTTTACCGATCATGATTTTTTCACTTCAAATTTTCGATTTATCATCAAATTACACCACATTCATTTATTTTTAGTAAAATTCTTTTTCCAAGACCTTTATCATTATTGCTAATTTCGCCATTTTTTTGAATCATATGGATTAAATTCCAGCATCTTAATATTACACCACATTTATGGCGAAAAAAATTATTTAATATTTTGAAATTATTTTTTCCGCTCAAAGGAATGTTACACAACATACGGCATGATTTCTGTACAATATGAAATTCTTTCGTTTCATTACAGTATGTCAAAATTTTAGCACACTAGCTTTTCAAAGGAATGTTACACAAAACGATCGGCGTTTTCCTGACAAATCAAATCAATTTCTCTATGATTCAAAATTCATTTAATTATTATGTAACATTTTATTAAATATGCATCATTTTTACAAAGAAACTAATTGATTTCATCTATAAATAAATGTCTCAATTTGGTGAACTCTTACATTAAAGGAATACAAAAGTCATAATACTGTCAGAGAAGCATATTTTACGAAAGCGATACCTGATTTCTTCCTTTTAAAGAACATTAAGTGATCTTGTGATCTTGGGTTTTTTCATTATTATTTTTTGCTAATTCAGAACAAATTAGGAGAAATGGATTTTTAAAATTGCAAATTGATAAAAAAAAAACACTCCCCCTTGATCTAAAAGTTGCTTGTTTCATGATTTCTTATGGTAATCCTTTAGCTAGAGATACTCAATAGTAATGATTGTTAGATATTTTTACACGACATTTATTAAATTTCTACTGTTTTATTTTATTAATTTTTTTTTCATTAATTAATTTCATTTCGTATTTTTTTTTTTAAAAAAAAAAATGTCGAGATTCTTTTAGATCAATTATTTATTCTATTATAATTTTGTTTTGAATATAAATATGATAAATTCTAATCCGAGGAGAAATATATAAACCGGATTTTAAACTAAAATACTTCTTTATTCGAAACAATCCATAAAGCTATTAATTTATAGAATAAAGATAATTTCAGTCTTTGCACATTTTCTAACTAGAACTTATTTGAAACTCCCATCATCTTTTTTTAATAAATTGGATGCAAAGTCAATTTTTCGCTAAATTTACCGAAGATGATGTATTTAATAATAATCGACCTTTCCCCATTACATCTTAAAGGCTCTATTTAGGTTTCGAATTGATTCTGATGTGAACAAATTCACCTAAATATCCTGATGGAATTGGTGTTTATCGCATTTAGATGCATCCATTGCATTATGTATGAATGTATTAAATTTCGGAAAGAATGTCAGTTAGGATTAATCGCAATAAATGAATCTGAAAACACAATATTCAACTCAAGAATATTATTCGGGTTTGCAGATTTGCTTTTTCCCAACCTTATTTTATAACTTTGATCTTTTTAAAATACATTCAAAAATATATATATATAAAATATATAGATTTAAACTATTTCATCCTAGCGTACGATTAACGCATACGGAAAGAACATGAAAGAAATGCTTGACCTCATGCGGTTGAGATTCCCATATATCTTTGATAGAGTCAATACATCTATTAGAAAAAGCAACGCTAGGATCACATCTCCATTTTGCGACCAAATCTCTTTTAAATAAAGTATACCCGTCGACCGGACGAGAACGGCGGGGGAGTGACGAAGGTAAAGCGGGGGAGGCAGCTTGTAGTGAACTTTCGCAGGACTGCGGACGAGAGCGACGAGGGTAAGGAGGAATTGAAGTAGGGGAAGTAGGTGGTAATAAACCTTCGATAGTTAGGGTTAATTCGTATGGAGGATTGTTAGAAAGGATGGTTTCGAGTGAATATGAAGAAGCAATTAAATTGGTAAACACATTTTGAAAAGCAAAATGCATATCATTATCATCGCTTGATGATGTCGAACGATTCATTTTTCAAATATATTTATTTCTTTTTATTTTATTTTTATTTTATTTAATTTTATTTTTATTAAAAAAAAAGTATCATCCTTTTTATAAGTATCAGTCATTACTGCAAAAAAATTTTTTTTTTATAGTTTATGTAAAATATTAATACAATTTAATTTAAATATGCTTTCGAATGTTTCGGAAGAATGTTCCAGATAAAATAACACTAATTCAAATAATATTTTAATGGGCTATTTTAATCCTATTAATATTTTGTGCGACACAAATTAATCAGACCATCAAAAATGAAACATTTTATTTGTTTCAAATCATTTATTTTTAGGAATGAATTGAACGATTTCGCGAATTCTGGCACGTTTCAAATGTTTCAATATTATAACCTTAATTGGCATGTTGGATTACATATTGCTCTAATGGTTATGTATGTGTGTGTGTGAACCATTTCGTAGACACTAAAGACAGAAAAGAAGGCACCTAATACGCAATATATGACGGTGTTAAAAATGTTCTTAATTCGCTCGTTTATAATTTAATAATTTGATTTAATAAAAGGTACAAGAACTTATGAAAATACTATTATTAAAAAGATAAATGTCGGAGTATAAAATGTCGGAGTATGATTTCGAATTATATTTTGATTTAGAGTATTGTTATAAAAACAGAAGGATTGCACGTTATTGCAACATTAGTGGATGAGTTATTAGGAACATTCAAAGGAAGGTACAAGAGGTAGATTTTATCGTAAAATAGTATCACGAATTAAATTTTGTTAATTATATTATTTTCTATAAATATATTAGTGAAAATTTTATATTTATTAAAATAACCGTGTATGGAATCAATGTTTTAGGAAAAAAAATTGTATCCCGTGAGAAATTTTAATTTTATGATAATTGTTAGCTAAAAGTAGTAACAATATAAACCTATTTTTTGTTTCATTATTTCGTTCCATGTTTCGTTGATGATCAATGATTGTTTTTAAAATCAATTTACAGTATATATTTCTAATTTTTGGGATACAAATTGTTGATCAACATTCTAACTGAACTTGACAGTTAAAAAAATCAGAAAATGTTTTTATTCATTTAATTATTTGAATAATGCCTATGTCGGAAAAGACAATGCTAATAGGTGATTACAATGTTATCTTAATTGTAATCCAATCAGTTTCATTCATTGAAATGCTGTTATAAGTTTTCTATCAATAATAGAGTTAAAGTAAGATATTTATATTAAATAAATTTAATAAATTATTAAATATTACTAAATATATATTGAATATGATTATAATTAAATTTTTTATTATTTCGGATTATTTAATTAAAATAATAGTTTTACTATTATTAATTAAGTTATAATTAGGATTTTATAATTAAAATAAATTTAAATTCAGAAATATTTTATTTAAGTTTATTTGGTCAAATTTAAATTGAAGAATAATCTACTTAATTAAATTCAAATCAAATATTAATTTAATCTGAATGAATTATTAAAAACTATTTTCAAAGTTTAAAAGTGCATTTTACTAATATTTTTTTACTATTAAAGTTCAAATTTTATATTTTATTAAATTTTCTTATCTTTAAAATTTAAATAAATATGGGGCGGTCAGTAGAAAAGGGGGAAAATCCACTTTTTAGTCAAAAATTTTTTATTGGCTCACTCTGCTGATCATGGTCACGTGAACAAAACTAGCTTAATAACTAAAATTACTCAAAATTTGGTGATTTTCCCCTTTTCTATTGACTGCCTCCCATATTTTTGTTAATATTTTTTAACAAAATTATCTCTGTAATTTAAAGATATAATTTACTAGTATTTTTTAGTAAATTTTTTTTTAAAATTTAAATATACATTTTACTAATTATTTTTTAGTAAAATTACTTTTAAAATTCAAAATTTTATAAATGTTTTGTAGTAAAAAAAAACTTCAAAAAATTTTTTTAATTAATGTTAAATCTGAACTTATTTATTAAATAAATCATATTTAGTATAAAAAATAAAAAATTTTTTTGATAGTTTCTTTTCTTTTTATTGCAAATATTTATATACTTACTGTTCAAACGTTTAAAATTACTTTATAAATAATCTGTATTTTATGTTTATTTAATATATATAAAATTTATATTATATGGTAATCAATAAATAATATATTGTATACATCTTTTTTATTTTTTTATTTTGAATTTTTATAAAATGATTAAAATAAAAAAACTTTTAGTTTTTAAACATAAAATATCATCAATTATCGTAAAACTGGTAATTTAAAAAGAAATATTTCATAAAAATTAACTATAAAAAATTACTATTTATAATAAATTATTTTCAATTTATAACTTAATTACACTATAAAATATTTAATTATGTCACAAGTTGCAACTCAATTGCACTATTTTTTTAATTGTAATGCTCATCTTTAACTTAAATATTAATTACAAATAAAAAATTTATTTCAAAAATTCCTATAATTAGAAAATGGTAACTATTTGCATAATTTAAAATAATAGAGCTTATAATAAAAATCATAATTTATTAATTTATATTAATTTTTATTATGTTTGATTTTTTTAGTGTTCAATTTTTATGAAATATATGTAATATAATATCAGTAATGTAAAATTTTATTGGATGATTAATATACAAAAATAAAATAATATCACATTTGATATATCTAGTATTTGATTATCTTTTACTATGCTTCAAATAAAAATTATATATAGAAATAATATAGAAATAATACATTTTAATATATTTTTAATAATTCTGTATTACAATTCTATATATTTAATAATAAATAGATTTTTTTATATTTTTAAAAATTAATATATATAAAAAAATATAAAATTATACAAAATTATTAAAATATATAATTTAATAATTAATTATAGTTAAATTTTTCAATTTTTTTTGAATTATTATATTTTTTTTAACAAAAAAAAAACTTTTATTTCATTTAGCATAATCTTTAAAAAAGTTCTTATTTTTTAAACTTAAATATTTAAAATAAAATTCTTATTAAATAAATAATATTACTTTTATAAATATAATTTTATATACAGTGGCTACCAAAAGAAACGCAAGTGTGATTGGTTACCTTTGAACGGCTATAGCTCATCAACCACAAATGCTAGAAACATGATCTTGTACTTGTTTTAAAGCCCAAATCTTGAAGGATATCCTGGCGAAA